CTTCTGTACTGAGTCCCCCTAGTAGTTCATTCTTGACACCTACTCCATCCTACTTGATGGAATGAAAATGAAAATGAAAATCACTCCTGTAAGTCCTCTCAACCTCCCACTGAAAGGTTTAACGGGCGGGTGCACGAATCAAATTCCAAAAATAATCAATCACACCACTGACCCTACCCTCATATCGCTTTGCTCAACACTGCAAAATGAGTCAAGACAGTCGAAAGACCCAAAACCCTGCTTTCTTTTTTTTTTTTTTGAAGTCCATGGTGTAGTAAAGGGCGGAGGCGGTTCTCTGACTCTTGCCGGAAAGACCTCCTTCCAGGCAGCCATTATTCTGCAATGCAAATATTAAGAATGGACAGGGTAAACCACTGACGCTATCGGTGACAGACACGAAATGGGGAAGGTGGCTAGAGCATGGGGTATGGCAGGTCAAACATCTCTGGGAAGAAGGTGAGAAGAGGTGGAAAACGGTCACGGAACTAAGGATGCTGCTGAAAGGATGTCACAAATTACCAGAAAATCTAGAAATCGTTTTAGGAGCCATACCGCAAGCGTGGAAGCTTCGGCTGCAGGCCGAAACGCAGTGGGGATTGGGAGATTGGGCTACATGGGAAGACGATAAGGAACCCAAGGAGGTCTTCAGGATCTGGGGGCCAGAGCCTTCTAGACCAGACTGGCTAATAGCAGATAAATATCAAATACTCCAGCCATCCATCACCACGTCCCAACTGGATAGTGCGACTAAAGCACCGATATTCATCCTGAAACAGTATTTGTGGAAAGTCAGGGTGGTCGAGACATATATTTACGGTATACAATCCGGCAGTGCCAATTGAGGAACTGGAAGTGGATCTAGAGGAATGGGCGTGGAACATCAGAAGTGGTCAAGCAGGAACATCAAGGAGAGTACATATCTTACACTACACCACAAGAATAGGGTATAGATTGAGAAGCCCATCTTACTCCGTGACACCGACGCTGCTCAAGAGATGGAAAACCTTTCAGAAACATATGTTCCAGATGGTACGACAATACGCCCTCTGGACTATTTGGAAGCGTCGATGCCAAGTCACAATTGAGGGTACAACAATGCATAGGCAAGAGGCTCAGGACATTTTCCTAACCCTCACTGAAACACATCTCAAGGCCCAGTGGAAAGTAGTGAGGAACCAAGTACGTCAGCAGCCAGAGCAAGAGGACGAAATCATGAAACACTTCAAGCAAAATGTACTAGGTAGCGGAGCAGTAGCAACTGTCCAGGGAGCACATTTGGTGCTCAAATGGAGAGGGGGGTGAAAGGGATGAGGGGATAAGAGGCATCTGCGCAGGATTGGGAAGATTTTGGGTGAGGAAGTGTGGTCGATGGAGAACAGTGCAGAACAGGGAGGGTTTAGGTTTCAAGAGTAGCAAATGGCGGAAAACAGGGAGGGCTTACGGTCAAGGGTTGCAGTCAGTTGGGGAAGATTCTAGACGACGGAAGAGTGTAATTCAAAGGGGAGGGTGGGTAATTCTAAGCAAGCAGAGGGCAAAAAAGGAACCGGACTGATGCAGTGAGGGAACAAGGAGGGTTTAGGGTTTATGGGTTGTAGCCGACGGAAAATAGTCCGGGTACAGGGAGGGTTTAAGGTTTAAGGGTAGTAGTAGCCGGCGGAAAACAGCCCGGGTACAGGGAGGGTTTAGGGTTTAAGGGTGGTAGTCGGCGGAAAAACAGGGAGGGTTTACAGTTTAAGGATTGCAGTCAGTTGGGAAAGAATCGAAATGAGAGAGGACAAGGGATGGAGTAATTCAAGGTAAGTAGGGTGTAAGAGACCGGATAGGTAGTATATGGGGTCAGGGTAGCATAGGGAGAAGCAGCTAAGTGCTTTTCTTGGTATTCACGAGCCATATGGCAGGTCGATTTATTCGGCCTAAGAGGAAAAGGCTTAGCAGGGCATGATGACTGTAGGATAGACGAAGTAGGATAAGGATAGTACAGGCAGGGGGGAGGGGTGGTGCATCCTTCCTCACGGAAGTAATCAATGCTGCCTACTCGGGCCTCCCATCCATAATGGGGAGGAGCGTGCGTATGTTTTTATGTACTCCAATTTGACTTGCCGGGGGAATAGGAACCGGACTGTTGCTCACCAGAATGGTAGGAGCCAGAACCGTGAGGTTCTGATCTTTGGTTGAACAAAAAAAAAAAAAAAAAAAAAAAAAAAAAAAAAAAAAAAAAAAAATTCCGCGAGAAACTAGAACGATACATGGCCATATTTCTTCCTCACGGAAGTAATCAATGCTGCCTACTCGGGCCTCCCATCCATAATGGGGAGGAGCGTGCGTATGTTTTTATGTACTCACATCTAGATGTGTATAAGAGACAGCCTACAGACAGACCGTTGGTTCCGCTGAGAGGCATTGAGCAAAGACTGTTGGTGTTCAAAGGGCAGGGGACTGGAGGTGACTGGCCCATCGAAGAAGCTCGGTCCTGATGCTACTGGCTGACCCCTGGCCGGTATCGCCCACCTGCTGTAGCAGGTATCGCACCTGCTGGTAGGTGCAGCTCTGGCCCATCGAAGAAGCTCGGTCCTGATGCTACTGGCTGACCCCTGGCCGGTATCGCCCACCTGCTGTAGCAGGTATCGCACCTGCTGGTAGGTGCAGCTCCCGCATGTTCCCTCATTGGAGGCTTGAGCACGGATGTGGCTGCTACGGGGTTCCCCGTAATACTATAATGACAATAAAAAAGGCCTGAAAGGCCGTCCTGTCCAGATTTGACAGGTAATTGAATTGATTGGGCTTAAAGAATTAGCCTTAAAAAAAAAAGAAAAAAAAAAAGGGCGGGGGCCAAGTCGTGTAGTTCCCAGTTGATTCAAACTCCCACCCACTTTTTTATTCTTTTTTTTTTGTCACACACACATTATAAGAATTCATTGGTGTAGCAGCTGTCAGCTGAGCTTCAAGACCCTGCTACCTGAAACAAATCCCCTCTTTTATCCTCTTTTTTTTTTGGGTCTTTTTTTCCTCCTCGTTTTTTTTTCTTTTTTTTTTCCCATCCGCAGACGTCGAGTTTGCAGTTGAGCAGGACAGCTTTCAACCGCAAACTTCATGTCCCTCCTAAGTCCAACTTGGAAAAAAAAAAAAAAAAAAAAAAAAAAGGACCTCCTGATTGTGGGTGGGACCACCTCTTTGCTATTTTCAGGTGTACACCTCGGTGTCTTTCCTGCCTTTTGGATTATTATCAAGCATAATTTATTACTGCTAACAGCACTCTCGCACTTGGACATTTTGAGACGAATCTGTCATCAATTACGATGACTGTACATCCAGCAGGACGTTGGACTTGTGTGTTTGAAAACCGCCAGTACCTGCCGGGTTCTTAGGCCCCCCCTGACGCAAACGAATACAGACCGGCGCGGTGGGCCGATTCATCCACCGCGTTGACGCCTAAAAATGCACTACGTAACCCAAGAGCCTAGGTCAGTGGGTACACCCGTGAACTACTGAAATACAGACCCAAGTTTGAATCCCGATGAGGGTACTTGATGAGTAAAAACCAAATATTTGATTACATTTCTGAATTGCCTGGGCCCGGTCAGCTCAATGATGCTATCTCAATGCCGTTGCCCTTATAAAAAAAAAAAAAGCACTAAGTACTGGTGGTTTGCGCCTTTGTCCCGTCGTCTGAATGTAGGCGGGCGTGGTCGATAAGTAACAGACGTGTTCCACTGAAAGATGCCTTGGAAAGCAGAAAAAAAAAAACAGTTAGCAGAAGAAAAAACATGAATAGCCTCTCACATAGTGAAGGCTCCTTTCTATTCTGGACAGGACCGCTTCGGTTCCTATTTCCTCTTTCTCTCTCGGAAAGCATTAGAGAATTTGATGTAAACATACATGACTTGCACTTGCCCCCGCACTTCACCCCAGGGGGAGGCAATCACTGCCTCCACATATGAAGCTACCGTCTTTACCCCAATAGAAACATGTGGTCATTATCACTGTATCTAGAGACTAGAGTATAGAATCTAGACTGAAAGTGGGCCAAATACAGCTCTAGTGACCGGTTATTCTATTCGAATTCGGGTGAAGATGGTAGCTCAAGTCCGCCTGCAATTTTGTCATTCATAGGAAGGTTGAATGGGTTCTCCCACGCGTCCGAACTATAACGTGACCTCTCATTTGCACACAGTCTGTGTCTCCACTGTTGGGGAAATGCACACAGAGTGTCTCTTCCCCTGTGCCCCAGCAATCAAATCATGCATTGCCTCACGATCACGATCTGTTGCTGACTCAGATTTCCTGTGCTCCTTGGTCTAAGGGCATAGTCCCCCCCGCACTACCGTCTTCCCCCGATTCGGGAAGAGAACCTAGAGTCATTATCGATGTACCAAGACTGATAGTTGTGCAAAATACAGGCATAATGACCGTACGACTTACGTTCTATTCGGGGGGGGAAGACGGTCGGACTCTCGCCTGGATGCACCTGACCTTAACAACATCTCAAAATCTCGACTCCCAAACCTTCGTTAAGCTTGAGTCCCCAAATTTCCGAGCTTGGCTTCCAAAGTGTCCGATCTTCAGTCCCATACTGTCCCCCAGCTTGAGTCCCAAAATTTCCACAGCTTGTAAGTCCTGAAAATGCCCCGGTGTGAGCATGACCTATAAAACTCTTCCTCACCGCACCAATCCTCCCCTCGGGATGCCTCTCTCCCGCCTGGACCGCAAGCTCCTGTCACTCGTCACCGTTTTCCAGTATAGCAACCAAGACACGATGCCATCTCTCTCTCTCTCTCTCTCTCTCTCTCTCTCTCTCTCTCTCTCTCTCTCTCTTGTGCACGCACTCCCTCTGGCCATACAAATGTAGAACAGGATATAGCTGTTGCTTAATCCTGGTTTCCAGTGCGGGTTTCCTGTGCAGCGCGTATTTGTGGCTGCTTCAATTTCAATCAATCATTCAAGACTACAATGACGGATCATCATCCTGCACACTCGGAGAGTGCCACCGGTGCCTGTTGACTGATCACTGATCAGTGGATTGATTGATCGAGCAAATCGTCGTCACATCAAGCAGCATAGTTTATTAGCAATGGAAGACAGACAGATGCCGAACGCTTGCATTGCTGTCAACGGCCATCTGCGACATCGGCAAAAGTCGCAATTATTCCAAAACACCCACCC